GTCTGATACGCCCGCCGCACAGCCGTGGCAACCCAGTGCGCCAGCCGCTGAGCCGACAGCGGGGCGCCCCTGTTCTTGGGGCCCAGACACACAAACAGCTGGCCACCCAACCTGAATGACGACGTCATGGCCTGGTAATGCCTCAGCATTCTGACAGGACACAGAAGGTGCCGCCGCTCCTCCTCGGGGGAGGCATGCGGTGGCGGATAGAAAGTCCTAATCCTGATGACTCTCGACCTAAGGCCGACGTGATGACCCTGGGGAGAAAAGCCGGATTGGGCCACAATACCACCATGCCGTCGCCCTCTCCAAGGACCGGCAAGACGCATGGACAGAGAGCGCACACAAGTCGCCCGCCCTCTTAGCAGACGCCAACGCCAACGCCAACAAGAGGGCCGTCTTAAGCGACACACTCGGGACTCGCCTCCGCCGCCGGTTCAAAAGGCGGACCCGACAGCCCCCTAAGGACCACCCTGAGGTCCCAAACCGGGGCGTTCTCTGGAGCGGGGGCCTCCTCCTGCGTGCCCCCCGCAGAAACGTTTAACCAACGGATGAGAGCGGGCTGTGAACCCCCCGAATCCGTCGTGACCCGAAGTAATGGCTGCCGCGAACACCGCCAAGGTGGCGACAGCCCTCCCCTTGTCAAAGAGCTCCTGTAGGAATCCCAGGACCCCCTCCAGCGGGCAACGCCTGGGATCCCAGGAACGAAAACCGCACCAGTCGCTAAAGAGCCTCCACCTCGTGGCGTAGGCCCTCACAGTGGACGGCGCCCTCGCCCCCTGAGTGGTCTCCACCACCGCAGGGGGAAGACCCAGGTCTACGAGGTTCCGCCTCTCAGCCTCCAACCCAGAGCCTGCGGCCGATTATCGGCGTGAAAACAGGGCTCCTCCCCCCCTGGACTAGAGCCCCCGGCTCGTCCGGGAGGGCCCAGGGCTCCATCACCGCCATGCCCCTCAGGAAGGGGAACCACCGGGCATGCGGACTGTCCGGCGCCACCAGGATCACCGACCTCCTCTCCTGTTCGATCCTCCGCAGCAGGACCGGCAGGAGACGCACTGGTGGGGAACGCGTACAGCAGGCCCCCTGGCCAGAGGTAAAGAGCCAGAGCGTCCACGTCTAAAGGCGGCTGGTCCGCGGCCCTTGAGGCGAACCAGGACGGGCACTGTGCGTTTCCTGCACTGGCGAAAAAAGGTCGACCACTGGACGGCCGAACCTCCGCCAGATCTCCGCAGCCACCCCTGGGGCCAGGCCCCACTCGTCCTGGAGTGGGCCCCCCCCCTGGACATCCTGTCGGCCCCCACGTTCCGGACCCCCGGGACGTGGCGCCCCCTGAGAGACAGGAGGTGAAGCGCCGCCCACAGCAGCGTCACCTTCGCCATGCGATGGAGAGCGGGGGACCTGGTGCCCCCCTGCCTGTTCAGATTGGAGACCACTGTGGTGTTGTCTGAGCGAACCATCACGTGTCTCCCCTGCAGCTAAGGAGCAAAGTGCAGCAGTACCCTGTGCACTGCCTCCATCTCCAGCAGGTTGATGTGACGGGCTGAGTCCGACCAGCAGCCTCCTACAGAACTCTGGCCGAGGACCCCGCCCCATCCTTCGAGCGACGCGTCCGTGAACATCTCCACGTGAGACACGGCGCCGGCCAGAGTCACTCCGTCCCGTAGAAGACCCGGAGTGAGCCAGAACCTGATGTTCGATGCTGCCACTTGGGGAACCCAGATCAGCCTCCCCCCGTCCCGGGAGGGGTGAAGCCTGAGGCGTGAGAACCACCTCTGAAAATTCCTCATGTGGAGAAGGCCTAGCCGCACCACAGCATGAGCCGCCGCCATCATTCCCAGCAGGGACCTGAGGCGCCGAGCGGGGACTCTGGGGCCCGCCAGTACCTCCCCGGGCAGACGAGTAGTGTTCATCCGTCTGTCCACGGACCATGCAGCACGGAATGTCACAGAGTCTAGCTGCAGACCGAGATAGATCATGCGCTGAGCCGGTTGCAGCCTGCTTCTACGTCATGGTGCTACGTCCCCTAGCGGACTTCGCTAGTGGGATATCACGTGCACCTATTCGTAGAACTTAAGTTACAAAGGTAACTGTTAATTTTCTCCCTGTTAACCGCAAAGCCCAGGCGCTGTATGTGGGACAGGACCCAGTGCGTATGACTCACGGCCACTTCCCTGGATGAGGCCAGAATTAACCCGACGTCTATGTAGGTTAAATTCTTACCCCTGCTCCACGGCGCGAGTGCGTAGCCCAAGGGGAAAACAACAGTACTCGTAATTCCTCTCTCCCACTGCGAAGCGCAGAACCTCCTGTGTTCCGGTACTATCGGCACGTGTAAGTACGCATCTGTCAGGTCTATGGAGGATATCCAATCTCCCTGCCTGACACACTCGAGGAGCTGCTTTGTGGGCAGCATCCGAAACTGCCGTTTGGAAATGCACTCGTTCAACACGCGCAGATCCAAAATGGGACGCACCCAGCCTGACTTCTTGGCACTAAGAAGTAAGGGGAGTACAGCCCCCTGGTGGCCTCCTGCGGGTCTACCTCTACTGCTGCGCCTAGACTCAGCAGAGAGGAGACCTCCGCTTGCAGTGCCTCTAATGACCCCGTACCTGAGAGCGTGCTGCCCGTACGCCTCGGAATGGTGGTGGCTTCTGGGAGAATTGCAGTGCGCAACCCCTGCGCGATGTTCTCTCCAGCCATAGATATGTCAGCCATCTTTGCTCCCTCCAGATGCTGTAGAAGTCTGTGAGGAGCGGAACGGGAGCTGGAACACGAGACGTCACGGCCCCGCCCTCTCCTGGTGTTCCTAGCAGGGAGGGGGGGTGGACGAAAGGGCCGGGGGGGCACCCTGCGTCACACCGTGAGCGCCGGGGGCGGTCACGTGTCCAGCAGGCCCGACGTCATAAGTACGGGACTGCTCACCACACGTGACTCGGCTGCTGTGCCCCCCCCTGGCTCTTGCCTCATGGAGGGGGGGGCGAGCCCCTGGAGTGGGAAACCCCGTGTTAGCCCTGTAGCTCAGAGATGCTAACACGCGTTCGGCCGAAGCACACACATATCACTCACCAGATCCCTCCGCCTGACCTCTCTCTGGGAGGGCATAGTATGGATCAGAGAAACCGGAGCTCGTAGTGCACTGCACGCCCCTCTCTGGGGCTGCAGGCCTAGCGAAGCAACGTATGTGCCCGGGAAGTAACACAATCAGAACTCACAATATTTGACATGTTACATACCCCCAAATCAGACTCAGAAAAGTAATGGAAATGCCGGTCGGCCTTTATTGAAGGAAAAATGTTTCCACCCCGGCCTCCTCTACCATAGGGAGGTCGGTGGTGGGTGCGTTGCTCCCGCGAGCCACCCATGGGTCTGTCTGGACCCGGGGGCCTCGTCGAGGGGGGGACGATGGATAACAGAGCGCGGATACGGGTCAGGATGCCTCCCGGGCCAACGCTCTCTACCTCTGTCCCGGCTCCGTAATGGCTGGTGGGCCTCGCGCCTCGGTGCTAGGTGCGGGGCTAGCCTAGCCGAGTCTTTAGCTGCAGACTCCAGTCTCGCCACCCAGGCCTGCATGTCCGGGCCGAAGAGGGACATCTGAGAGGTGGGCAGGTCCAGCAGCTGCCTCCTCTCCGCCTCCCTGATATTAGCCAGCCCAAGCCAAAGGTGCCTGGCCCGACTTGGGCTGCTGCCATGGAGCGGCCACCATCCACAGCTAGCGTTTGGCACATGCGCAGAGTCGCCGCTGAGGTGGTCCTCGCCTGTGACAGGAGGTCTCCACTGAGCGCCTGGCCAGAGGAGAGCGCCCTATCCAGGGCCCCCGTGATGAAAGTCATGTTGTTAGCCAATGTGACGACCTGTGCCGCATTGGCCTAATATCTATCCAGCCTCGACAAGACATCCTGTCCCGCTCGGAGAGAAGGAGAGGTCTGGTGCCGGGCCACACGGATGCGGAGGGCTGCAGGGCCATGCGGACTGAATCCTCGATCACCGGTCCAGGACCAGTCCTGCCCGCTGCAGTATATGTCGTACCCCAGAGCAGGCCTCTTGGCTGCTAGGGGCTTAGGCATCCTCCTCCTTCCTCGAGTGGTGGCACCCACAGAGGTGGGTGCCACCAGGAATCCTCCACCGTCTGGATCCAGTGACGACGTCCGACGCCGGAGGGCGAAGGGAACTCGGACGAACAATGAAGACATCTCTGAATAAAGTACTGTGGTAGATCTCAAACGGCGCCAGAGTGAAAGAGGAGGTGCGGCCTTGTGCAGGGGCATTTATAGAGGAAGGTGGCTGGTGATTGGAGCAAATTATTTTGATCTCTCTGGCGTGTGACCTGGGGGTCACGAGTGATATCCCACTAGCGAAGTCCTAAGGGACGTAGCACCATGACGTAGAACTACTCTTCAACCTTTTGGTACCAGAAAAAAGCATAATATCCTTGGGTCTGCACAACAGGTATGTTTCTTAAAACGCCATACTACATAAAACCAAAGCCAAGACCAAAACATAGCTGAGTTAAACATACACAACAACTAATCATGTGAATGACTTTAGGTTTCAAGTCACAACATTGAGAATGACCAGAATACATTTCATTACACTGATTTGATTTAACAAACTTGCTTTTAGGTAACTCTATAGCTGTGGCAATAGGGTATTAGTCCATTCATTAACTGACCATTATTTCTTGTAATGCTGCTCTCTCAATAATGTGTGTAGTATTCAATATTAATGGACTTGACTTCTCCAAACTGGGAATGCCCAATGCTCCATAACAACCATATGAGCTGATGTGAAGAACCCCCCAATCCCATCCACATTTTTGAAATTCTCCCCTATTACTTTAATGTTTTGGTTTCTTCCTTATCCCACACTCAACTTCTCCGAGTGCAGAAGCAGTTTCATATTTCTGGAAGAGCTGTGGAATGGTAGGTAACAGAGCCTCGAGCCCAAACTGCTCCAATCATCTAGCCCCTAAAAGTGAAGAAACGAGACCGGCCTTGACTCACCCTCTCGCCAGGATCTCCGGAGGCACCTGGGGGGCCCTGCAGTCCGGGGGTACCAGGAACACCCTAAAACCGCAGAAACAGACAGATGTGTTTACTCCCACTAACCAAGCTTCCCACCACAGTGAAGCTGGCTAAGGCAAGGGATCAGCAATAATCAGCCTCAAAATCATGCACACTCTTGTATATTAAATGAAAGCTGGTAGATGCCACAACTTCTCTTGGTTATACTGTTATAACCAAGAGAACCAATAGGGATACTAAGATCCCTATTGTTTTCTTTGTGGAAAGTTGTATTTATAGCTCAACCTTTGCATCTGTGGTTACTGTCTACATTTAACTTGTTATGGAGGTGATTTTTCCAAATAATTACGGGTAGTTTTTTGAACCAAATTAGTTATGTATGGAAGGAACCGACATTGGACCAAAGGTAAAGATGGCTGATTATTATAGACTGATAGGTCAAAGGTGAATTTCTAATTCAACTATTATTATTAATTCTACTACTATTTCAACTACCACTAAAACTATTATTTCTACTACCACTATTACTATTACTAGTTACTTCTGCTGTCTATCACCAGTCCTACTACCATAACTCCTCTTCTCTTACCTCTTTGACCTACTCCCCAAATTCACTTTCCATACAGCCAGTACTCCTCTTTTGTGTGCAAACTGCAGACAGAAGAAGAAATGGAGAACGTGATACTTACTGCTTGGCCGGGCGCTCCTTGGGCTCCTTCAATAATCATCCCCTAAAAAAAAAAATAGAAAGAGAGAGAAGTTACAGTAGCTTTATATGAAACACAGTGGACACTAGGGGGAATGGTGGAATGAGTGATTTGGCTTTAAAATTACATAATGTGACCATGTGTGGTCTAAAGTCTCAGTCATATAGGCATTTGGAAGCAACTCCATAGCTAAAACCCAAAACTAACATTTCTTGTGCCATGTGACAAGTTACAACAAGGTTTTACTAAATGTTAAGTCAACATAATTACCATGGCCAGTACTGTACTCTAAGTCGGAAACAGGAGGAAAAAAAAATCTTATACCATTTTCTCATACTCAAAGTTGAGGTGTTCCTGTAATTGATACTGGGGTACCTATTTTATTACTTGCTATGCATAACCACCTAACTAGTCTCTTAAACAGTTTGATTCTGTGTTTGTTTTTATTTTATTTTAGGAAAGCTTTTTCAGAAAGAAATAGAAAAATCCAACAGAAAAAGCAAATAAGATCGCAGCCTGTATCGTGACTAACAGGGCTCTTTTGTGCAAGTATAAAAACAATCAAAAGTTTTCTAATGAATATGGAGATAAAGACTCTATATTGTGGTTCGATTTATACAAAACACTCTTTTAGATAGAGTAATACCCCAGCTTTATACCACACATAAACAACAAACCTTTCCCAGTACTGATTCTCCTAACAATGTAAAACTAATTCTTCCCATGAAGTCAGATGTATTCAAGATTACTTGACGTCTTAACCCCTGGACTGATTTGTGTTTAAGATGACAGAGAGGCTTATGGTTATGGTAGAAGAGACATGTGGTGACTTCTGTAGGCCTGTTCACCACATTAAACATATGTCTTGTGGCGTGCTGAGGTACACTGCGGTGGTTGCGTCTACAGTCAGCGGAGCAAAGTCATACGTGCCTTTGGTCATACACATGATCTTGGCACATAAAAAGAAAAGCAAATGAGAAGCGGAGCCGAGAAAAAGCAGTAGACAGAAACCACATGGAAATACATGATGTTTAACATGTGGAATTAGGGGTTAACAATGGATTAATCACAACGGTTGGAATCAAACTGTAAAGGAACAGTAAAGTATCAACTCTATAATGCCTTTAAGTGTGTTGGCACGTAAACAGTGTCAAGGGAGTCAAATGTCTCTAATATTCTAATACAAAAATATCCATCTTTTATCTATTTCCTCAACAGAATTAAAACAAAGAATAGTTAAAAGTGCTGGAAAAATGTGTTAACCTAAAGTTGGCTTGCTAAACATGGCAAGAAATCGATTACTTAATATAATCCGTGTATTTGATGAGGTTTAATTGAAAAAAATAACTGATATCAATCCATCCATTTTCTACCGCTTTAACTATTGCCTATCTATTGCCTGAAGTCATGTCCCAGGAGACAACTGAAACAGATGCCCGAGACACCTAAACCCACTCTGCCACTCTGCGGAGGAAACTCATATGGACCGTCTGTCTCTGTGATCTCATCCCTTTGATCAATACCCAAAGCTCATGACCATAGGTGAGGGAAGAAACATAGACGGGCTGCTAAATCGGGAGCTTTGCTTTTGACTCCCTCTTCACCACAACGGTCCAATACAGTGACCACATCGCTGCACACGCTGCACCGATCCGTCTGTCAATCTCACGCTCCATCTGTCCCCGACTTGGGAACACAGACCCAAAAATACTAATTACTAATCCTCCACTTGAGGAAGAAACTCTTGACCATCCAAAGAGGGCAAAACATCTTTGTCCAGTAGAGCACCATGGGCTCAGATTTTAAGTTAATTTTTTGTCCCATCAAAAAATATGCTTATATAAGTTTGAATGCTTGTTTGAATTGAATAGTTTGTGGTTTGACTCCAATATGCCTGCAAGCACTTTGTATATCTCAAAAAATTCTTCAAAAGACAAAAGAAAGTAATTTCTCTATAAAATGGTATACAAACAATGTCTCAATCAAATCCGATTAAGAATGGGTAGCATAGTGTTCATGCGTAATCACTCTAAGTGCCAAACCTGCTCTCACACAGAAATATTTACGTTTTAAAATGTGAAACAGTACTTACTGGTTCAATAACAGCAGGTTCTCCTTTCTCCCCCTTCTCTCCCAGGTAACTTTGTCCTTGGACCTACAGCGGAGAGAAGCATGAGTGCCTGCATTTACTGTAAGATGATTGCAAACCATACAATCTGTCAAAAACAATTCTGGGTTTTACAACGTGTGAAAAATGCTGAGTCAGTGCAATATGAAGAGATTAAGAAAGCTTACAGTCAAGACCGTGTTTTTAGCTACTGGAAAAACCAACCTCAGAAAATCACTCAACAAGAAGCTATAATTTCAACTTTGGCCTCACTCCTGTTTACAAAGCCAATGAGAGAAAAGACCCCGACAGTGGTTCCAAACAGGGGCCGTTACCTGACACTGTCCATGCAATGATTTCATATTTAAAGAATTTTGACCGACCGAAGCGGCTGCAGGTATGTGTTGAAACCACTGATTTCTACAGCTGAGATAAACATATTTTTGGGGCAAATGATGATGATTTTTAAAGCAGTTTAACAATAACCTCATCTTTGAGCCCTGCTTTATCTGACAGAAGCAGTGACGTACATTTTTCAATTGAGCAAAAAGTTAATTTACAATAAACTTGCCCAATCCAGCATTAGATGACTGATACTTCATTCAGAATGGACAATTTTCCAGCCAATATTTACAGTGACACTTCCTGGTTTAGTTTGGATTGCGGCCATTACAGACTCAGCATATTTTACGTTTATTTTCGTAATAATTTGGACATGAAATCCCACTCAATGAGCTTGTTGACATTTGGCATGATTGAAAGATTAGAGAGAAGTGTGTTTCTAATCAACTCCAGAGGTCAAAGAATCAGAGGTTAAAGAGGGCGTGTCTGCATTCTGCATTCCCACATCTGTTTACATGCACCGTGGCGAGGGCCGTGTCCCACTCCCATTTCAAACTCACATATTCAAACTCAAGTGTTTCTCTGATAGTAGCAACAAAAACACTATTTAGAAAGGAAATTATTTAAATGAGGTGCATTATGGATGGCGGACAATCCATTAAATCAAAAGTCCCATGATTGTCCAGACATAAAAGAAGATATACTACAAAACATTGGGTTTAATTACAATGTAATCATGATATATCAATATTCCATACATTCCATCCATTTTCTTCCCCTTAATCCTCTGGTCCATATATATTATACAGTATAATTAATTCTGACTTTCATTATTTTTTATTACATTTTTTAAAGCAGGTGTCTCCAACCTAAAGCTTGGGACCTAGCAGAAGCTCAACATTCCCTTCCAAGTAAAAGATTAGACAAATGATCTCAATATTCAAAATGTCATGTTGCCTATTACTATTGTATATACTTAATTTTGTGCACTAATAACTAGATATTATTACAGTTACAAAACCATAAAGCAATCTGAGCATCTCACCATTATACAGTATTGACACAATTTATTCTGAATCACTTGATCAGGAGTTCACAGCCATTGTTTTTGAACGGAAAGAGTAGCTCTCCTTGGGAAACAGGTTGGAGACCCACTGTCCTGCATGTTGAGGTGCAGCTGAGAGCCTATCAGTACTGCAATTCTGAACAGTAATTTCTAGCACCACCTGTAAACAACTGTAATGAACTACGTGTATTGTATAGTGTAAAATGAATGCCATCAAAGGGGCATAATACTTGTATCTTTTCATAAATTAGAGCTCATTCTCAAACAATATAAGATGTACAAAAATCATTGGGGTGAATGGTTTGTAGTTTCGTATTTGGACCTGTGTGCTCAGTGCTTCCTCTGAGCTAAAACCTGATACGAGCATGAACGACAAACAAAACAAAACAAAATCAAAGGAATGCCACTCCTGTCTGAAGTCCGTCCACATACCGACCGCTGTAATGGAGTCAGTGTGTCATCAAACGTCATCACACGACAGAGAGGAAAACTCTAGTCTCATTAGTTGGTATTAGGATAGTGAGTAAGCTTGACTTTGGAAATAACACAAGTAAATAAGAAATATAACTTTGGCCTTTTCTAAACTATTCAAAAGGGACATTGTATTAACTATAGGCTTCTTCAGAAAGGACACCCTGTAGACTATGTACTGTTTGTAAATGAATTACTGCATTTTGGTTGGAAGCCATTACTAGTCACTTTACCTGCTGCTATTATTTATTTTGTTTACTCCGATCATATTTTCTGTTGCTAAATCTGTAAATACCTCCTGCTCACTACAGTGTATACTGAGTGCTCTTATTTCCTCCTTTTATTATACTGTAATGTATAATGGCATTGAAATTTCCCCACTGTGGGACGATTTTTTTTTTTTATCTATATTTTTAAAAGAAATGTTGAAAAACAATTTCAACTCTATAGTGACTCACAAATCAGCAATGTCTGAGGTTCTATACTGGCCAACACCATGCACATGTTTTTTTTCGATATTGTTACCACTTCTACCTTTATGAGAAAATAAATAGTCCATAGTTGATATGTGCTCGCTAGACCTTTGTGTTTTGTGTTGATCGGCCCGGTGAAGACAGAGAAATTAGCCATCAAGTAAGACTTCATGTCTAACTTTTATACAGTTATCATTGAAAAGATTTTTTCAGCTATAAGCTCTTTGGCATGTTGAGATTTCACATGAACGTCACCAATATTAAGCAATTTCAATCTCCTACACAGACATGTATGATAAGACAGGCAAGTTACTGTTTTGTTGTGTGTGAGAAGTGCCCACATTGCAACTGGATGGCTAAACGAGTTTTTCCGCATTCCAATTGAATCCGGCGGTATTGTCATTGGATTGGGCTTGAACAGTGTCATTACCACATTGACTTACAGTGCTCTCTCTGATGTCGGTTTCAGCTGGTACGCCGGGCCCAAACTCCTCTTCTTGTGTGGGCTTAGCTGGGCCTGTGCCATACTCATAGTCCCCGTACTCGTAGGTCTTCTCCACAAACTCCTTGTTGTCATAGTTTTTCAGGTCGTACTCTTTGAACTCGTAAACGTCAGTGGCAGGTTCAGCTTTCTCCACGGCAGCAGTAGGCTCCGCCCCCACCTGCTCCACGCCGGTGATGTAATCGTCAACAATCTCTTCAGTAAAAGTCTGGCATGGATCCATCGGCCATCACACAGAGAGAAAGAGAGGGGGACATGGAAGTGAGTTAGTGAAGGAGAGTGACAACATGTGAGAGGAATTCACATGTGTATAGAAATATCAGGTTAACCAGCATTCACAACTCCCTTGAAAAAAACTGGAACAGAAATTTTCCAAAGAAAGTTTCAATTCAAAAGAGCATATGTGATTGTCAACATATGCAAAATGTATGTATTCAATTATATGCATAGCCCAGCACTATAACATAACAAAACACATAGGAAACAATGTACAATGATTGCTGATTGTACAATATTATACAGAAAGCAATATTATACATTAAAGAATGTAATGATATCTGGAAGCATCACCTCAAGACTGAACTAATAATCACTTAAGTCAATTGTATTTTATCCTAAATATTAGACAGTGAAGAAGGTTATCTTGTCACTCATGCACAGGTTTTCATGATTTGCTATGATCCAGTTTGTTTTAGTTGAAATATAACAACGTTCTGTTACAAAGTTACAAAGATGTTTATGTCAAAATGGATTAAATATAATTCAATTCAATTTGTTTTTGTAAAGCCCTAAACCACAACAATAGTTATCTCGGAGGACTATACAAAGACTATACAAAGCCATTGGTTCATGGGGCGGATGACCAATGTCCATACATGGATCATAGCTTCCTTCCATGTTAAACAGTTCAAGTAAAAGTTCTTTCATGTTGTCAACAGGGAGCCCTCTTTGTGTGTGTACATTTGCTATAACTTTCCAGATTTTCATCCAAGTTAACGTCCACCATCTTCACTAAATGATTCAATACAATGTGAGATCTGTTGTCCGTTGCTTGTCCTTATTTGTACCATGATAAACCCAGTGATGTCCAAATGTTGTAGTAAGAGGGCCACTCTAGTTAACGTTAGACGTACAGAGGCCAACAACCCAGATTGTAAAATGTTTTAAACCGGATTCATGAGATTCTTTCTGAGCTTCATAACTAATTATTACCTACTGCATATTAGTGAGCTGAAGTTGGCTGGATGACACTGCCAACTTGTGTGCTACATTAGGTTAGCAAGGCGTTGGGTCAGATAAATGGCTGGCGACTCACAATAAATGAATAACCACACACATTGTGAACTTTAATTTCAAAGCAAAATGAAACAGACTTTGTGATTTCAAGGGCAGCGTCTGAATGTATTATTATTATTTTTTTTTTCAGAAAACCCTTTTAGTAATATTTGGTCCAATAATTGACTTACATTTTATAATCAATGAAATACGCTATAAAACTAGACTCGCACAGGATCTACTAACATAATGTATGGAAGGAATACTAAATGTTTCCAGTTGCAGAACAAACCTAAGGCGATTTTGTCTTCTGTAATTAGCACAATGTTCCATATAGGCGAGCATATGTTAGCATTTGTGGCTAACCCTGCTGGCTGTCTTCTTCAATAAAGAGCCGTCTAAAGCCGATTGAAGTTTTCTTATCCACCTTCGAGGTACATCACGGCGCAGGCAGCAGATTTTTGGCCCAAACGTGTATAACTGTAGAGGTTTTGTTTCACTCACCAACTGTTCTTCATTACCTTTTATGTGATGGTTTAGCTCAAATTGGGACAGGATCTGCCAAATTCAGGATATTGCTGGACCAACTGGGATGCGTCTGACTGCTGATTTTCCATTGGTTCTGCTTTGTTAAATGACAAAGTTTCCCTTTAGCTTGTTCGTCATATTGTATATACAGCACTATAGGATCTCTTGGATGTCAGTGGTTTCTGTGAGAGCTCAAGGGCAAAGGAAAGTGACCGAGGCCAGGGAAAACTCAGACCCCCAAACTAGATAATAGAAATGTGTTTTTGTTTTGAGCTTTACGGTAATAATAAATATGAAACAGCACCGACCGGATTGAATGTCAGCTCAGTCTGGCGTAAGAGAGATGGAATTAAGCATCCAGAAAGATTGGCAGCATGTGACTAAACCAAACATTTCCAACTATGTAAGGAAACACAACATTTAATGCAATTTGGTGGTAACCTGGCCACACACACGCCGTCTGCTCATCTGATAATAAACGCCATTGTTGCATTTTACCTGATCCTGTCCAGCGGTATCTGTGTTGGCGTCAGGGGGACCTCCATCCACTGTGGTGTAGTCATATTCACTTGGGTAATAGTCAGCTCCTGCATTCGTCTAAAAGCAGAAAAAACCTTACAAGAGGAAATGATGTTATGAAAAGGTAGATAATAAATATAACTATTCGACTTAAGGCCATTACTCAGCCTGTGTTCCCGTGGAAAGAATTAGCCATACTAATGCTATGCAAAGTTCTACACATGTCATCTCTTCTGTAATGATGACAGCTGAAATTAAAATGCAAATAAAAAATGTTTTAATTAGTCTTTGAATGTAATGATCAATGATTTTCTTTTTACTAAGGACGACATGTTATCTTGTGGTGTTAATATGGAAGGTCTCCCGATATCCTTAAGGCGTTAAGAGTTTTTGACTTGCAAACTTGTTCTTTTAACAATTTGGATCAACTTTGGATCACTTTTGTAACAACTTTTTACAACATTGATTTTGTAGGAAAACTCTGTTCATGTCCTTCACTGGTATCGCAAAGTATTGGGATCAGTATTGGACTTGAACAAATTGGATTGTGCAGAAAAACAATAAGTAGCGTGCTTCTTATTTCGACATTTCTATCATTTTCTAATTATGTGCAATACTAAACAATTATGAATCCTTTATGCAGTTTTTCAGAAATTTTAGATAATAAAAAAACAAAAAACATGTAAGACAAATGTAGGGAAACGTTTATGGGAAGACTGTGGTATAGAAAGTGTCTTGGATCAGGATTTCTGCCTGAATCCAAGACAGGCAGATCTGCCAGGGGATTAAAAAACTGGCAATAGCAATATATGAAGTGTAGACTTTACACCGCAACAAAACAATCACCGGCTGTTAGTTCATTAGTTAACTTGTCCCATTGTCCACTTTTGCTTGTTACCTCTGTCTTGGTTGGTTCGGTCGGGGGAGGGACTGTTTCGACCTCTCCTTCACTGTAGTCATAGACATCCCCATAGTCATAGTTAGTGTACTGTAAGAGAGGACAGGCGAAAGACCCAATCACCAAAACTGTGCATTCATGTAAACAGCCATGCGCTATACCAGATATGAGCACCTGTTTACATGGAAGAAGCAGAGGTTACATTTCAAACAACTGCTTGTTTGAAATGTATTGTTATAAAACACATATGCCATCCATCCATCCATCCATTTTCTACCCTTTAATCCATTTCTGGGTCAGGGGGGTGGCAATCAGAGATGCAACCCAAGTCTCATAGCACCAGACCCTCACTGACCCTCTGCAGGTGGTGAGTCCACAGGAGGACGGCTGCTCTCTGAGTGTGAGCATAGCCTTGATCTTTCAGTGGGGGCTTTTGGGCAAAGTGGGGTTAAGTGTCTTGCCCAAGGACACAACGACAGCAGTCGTCAGTGGGAGTCGGTGGAGAAGGTCCCGTGGTGGGCTTGAACCCACGACCTTCTGGCCTTAAGGCCAATGCTCTACCAACTGAGCTACTGTCGCCCCTTAAAAACACATATGCCCTTTTTTCTATTCCCTCAACCCATTTCTAAGATGGTAATTGGACTTTAAGTAGGAAATACCATTTAAGATTCTTTGTTTACATGCACAGGATGCGAAATCTAAGCATTAATCACTTAAAAAGAAGAACTTTGGCTATCATGTGTTGCTAAATTAAGGGTTAGGAGAACAATACAGTAGCGGGGGGTCAGAATGTTGTTTAAGTTAAGGCAGCATCTGAACAGCTAACATGTGCTAATGATTACACAGGTTTTATAGCAAACATTAAAACGTTTAACCCCCAGATATGATTCATTTAATCCACTCACAGTGAAGGTACAGATCTCAACACTGCTTTATCATACAGAGAGCATAAACATGTTCAGCTTTCACCACTGAGGGACAAATAAAGATGTATCTGATTTTATTTTTTATATTTTTGGCAAAGTGATTCTGTGTTTACTGCCAAAACTAAATATACTGCATTTGATTTACCTCTTATCCAATTTGTGTACAATATAGCGCACAGCATGAGCGTTTTATGCATTGGAAACTTCCACAAGAACATAACATGTATTTAAGATGTAGAAGCTAATAATATTCAAGACTTTCAGACCAAGCAAAAAAATATCTATTGATCTAATTATAATCATTATTAGAGGTTATTTCAAAGCTGGGAATGAATGTAAATTTCAAAAGGCTTCCTCCTGTTACACATCTCTATTCTATTGTCACACAGGAGACATAAATCAGATTGCATTAGCAGAAGGTCTGCTGATATCCACCTCTCCATCAGAGCAGGGATTTCGATGAGGCCCCTGACGGCTGCTAAGCTCATAAAAAACATGATAAAATCCACATCTTGCTGCCGCTCGGCCTTTGGTCCACTGTCCGGTCATGGCCCCAAAGAGAGGTCGGTCATGGCCCCAATGAGAGTGGAGAATTTGGCACTGACTCAAAGGAGAGACAGTGACATTGCAAAAGGCAACTTTTTCATGATGTATGGTGTTTGAAAGAAGCAAAAAAATATATATACTTAAAAGTGATACAATATTTCTCCATTACAGTTCAAATCTGTGCATGTTACCACTTATCTCTTTGTGGGAGCAGCTGCTGGAAATAAGAGCACTAATCTGTCAATTATGAACAGACAAACAATGCCTCAATATGCTAAGTTTAAAAAATAATCACCAAATAATTATTTATCAAGGGCAGTAGTTCATCTGCTAACTAATCTTTTGGGTAAAAAACTGCACTGGTGTCAGAAGTTAAGTCAATGTACTATAAACATACAGTAACTATCTACAGTAAACATTATATCATGTTCTATATACAGTACTTTAGAATTACAATGTTGTGTTTCAGTTTAAGTATTAATGTTAAAATCATCATAATTTTGATTCACCAATATACATGCATAAATTATTCAGCAACACAACACAACACGTTAATTTAATGAAAACATTCAACAGACACATTTTGTATCCAGTTGTAGCTTTCTCTCTGTTGTGTTATCTTGATGACTGTTGCCAACTCAGTCCTAAACAATAATAACAATTTAAAACATTGATATGATCAGCCTTAAGTAATTTTCAAATCAAACTATTTAGCTTCAGCTTCAAATGGTGGAGGAATGCTGGAAAACATTTGTCCTTATCACGGCTCAACCTTCTGATGGATAACACATATTTATTGCATGCTCACGACCAAAACACTCCCTGTTGTCCTTTTAGGATTGACAAGCTCTCATGCTTGGCTTTTAGAAGTAGCGCTATGACAGAGCCATATTTTCCAGAGATCGGAATGGCTGAAAGCTTGGATCTGGCTTGATACGCGCAGTCCTAGAGTTGACTTTTCCAGGTTTTCGAGGTCTAGGGTTGGACGGAAAGGCTAGTATTTCCCTGGGAGTCTGGGGTAGTGCCTGCTAAAGTCATTAGAGATATAAATCACACAGTACTTCAGAGTGGGTTGGGGGAAAAGGGGGGAGATTTTCCACTGTGACCTCATCAGTGCTTAAGCAAAATACCGGAGGAAAAAATGTCAGCTGACTTCCAAGTTGGCAAAAAAAAAAAGAAAAACGTAAAAGAAAATTGCATTTCAAATATAAAGCCATGGAGGTTACATGACAAATAACGAAGACAATGGACTCTCCAATGTTTGAAAAAAAAAAAAAGAAAGAAAAATGGGCCTTAATGACTTGAAACATTAATTAACACATTGTAGAATGTTATAAGATTATTATAGTTAAAACCAAAACTAATTTAATTTTGAGAAATGGCTGGTCTCAAAAGTGGATTTTTATTTTTGTCAATTGACTTTTGAGTTCCCAGGCTTAATGAAATCAAATTGCAGAAAATGTATTTGCACAACTTGGATTCGGGAATGTCTTTGTCTATCTTTACTCGTGCTTGCAAGTGTACTACATGCAGTTTTTAATGTTCTATACATCACTTCATGAGGACGTAAAAAAAATATCAGTTCAGATTTCACAGTTCATTTCAGTTTTGTCGATCACCTCCTGGTTTTACAGCACATTTCCTGTCTGACTCTCCATCACTGTCTGCTGAACCATGGAATGTAGCAATATAAGACAGATCAGTCAAAAAATATCAAGTAAATCTGTTCCATTCTGCTCTAGTACCTACAGTAAACCATTCTTTGGATTAGGGCAATTTAGCAAAGTATCCTGTTGCAATATTTCTGACCAACATATCTATTGCAATTGTGATTTTCAACATTGTGTTTTGAAAGTCTTATTTTGATCAGAGTAAAACATTACATACATTTTACCTCACACATGATTCCCACACACTTCATAATATGTTATATAGAGTTCTAACCTACAGTACTTTTTACTCAGTAATACAAGATTTTCAAGTAGTTTATCATCTGCTCTCCCAAAATTCTGACAATGCCTGACAACAAGACGAACCAAAGATATTTTCCCAAATTTAAGTTATGTTTTTCTTTACAAAGGTCTTACACAATTGCATTGTTTGAAAACCATGGGAACTACAATTCTAATTTGGCTGCAGGTAATTGTGCAGCCCGATTTGGATCTAAATTTTAATTCTTGTGTCATATTCTTGTTCTCCCCAAATCATGCCTCCACTTCCTGTTTCTCACTGTTCTCTCTTCATTATGGTTATATACCTCCCCTGGCACACTTTATGTGACGGACGCTTTCTTTAACCTCTCTTTGGCCTCTCCCCTGAGACGACTTTACCTAATGACCCTAATCTTGAAGTCCATGCCACCCACTCAGTCTGTCACCCAGAGCCACCCGGACAGACCACTGGAACACAAAGTTTATGCTTGTACAACGTCTTTAAGAAGGAAAGTATTTGATTTAAGATGGTCATTTTGAAAACAAATGGCTGATTTACTAATCACAAAAGTGAAAAAAAGAGTCCTGATTAATGGGCTTATATGTTGCTAAGCCAAGTCATTGGCTGCATTAGAATTCAGCAAATGTACGTCTTTGCTCCTTGCTAAAATATATGCTTTATAATGACCTCTTGAGCAATTGAAATGTCTCTCCATTTTAAGATGGTTTAAATTATACATAATTCCAATTCATGCCAGGTGAATTGCAATAAGGACAAAGATGGATAAGATGGAAGAATAATTTCTGATTGCTAGGATTACACACTTTAAAATTCTAAAATAGTACTATCTTTATGATAATCCTAATCTTGAATTGTTGGATCAGACTCTCTATAAACTGGTTTATTCTGGAATATTATGTCACAGTAAAGTTGAAGTTGGGGTTATTGTTTTACAATACAATACAATACAATTTATTCTTGTATAGCCCTAGGTCACAACAGAAGTCATCTCAGAGGACCTGAGATGACTTTTGTCTTCTACCTTTGGATCATTCTGATTAGCGCTGTAGTCGAGTAGTCAACTTACAGGAGGGTGTGGCGCATGCTCTACATCTGACCAAAACTGTTCTCACAAAAATGAATGAATGAAAAATTGGTATTTAGCTAATGGATGAATGGAGAGTTTAATCTTGCTTGAAAATAAAAATACAAACATCTTCTCCTCAGTTGTCATCCAATTTTCATCCACAATTTCTTGCAATTTAGATAGAATATTTAAATAATTAGTCAACTAAGAATATGTTGACCAATGTCGTGCTTGTCTTCCATGACAACGCATGGAATTTAGCTCTCATGTCAATTCCAGCCCTTTTTATGTTGAAGCTGTTTGCAGAGCAAGAGTGAGTTCGACGCAAACATCCAAGTCTGAGTAGCGTGCAAAAAAGTGAACAGTGAAAGTAAAGTAGGCTACACACCTATATATACAGTATACCGTGATGACAAGTCACATGACTAGCAAGATAGAATCAGTAAACAAGACAAAACTAAGACCAAATACATAAGTTTGACTGACCACGTCCTCCTCGGGCTCCTGGGCTTGGGGCGTGTCGTGGTGGTCCGGGCCCTCACAGTCTGGGCTGTAGTGTTCACAGTAATCGTGAGCTGCACGAGGGTCCGCCACAATCAACAGCTGCTGGATGTCTCCCTGTGAGGAATCAAAAGACAATCAGAAAAAGTCAGTGAACATGAAATCTTTATGTATACAGTACAGCACAAACACAAATACAAGGCAAGGCAAGTTTATTTATATAGCACAATTCATACACAAGGCAATTCAAAGTGCTGAACAAAACAAGAAAGCATTAAAATAATAAATAATCACAGAACATTAAAAAAAAAGCTAAAAATATAAAATCCCTCAGTTGTATGCACAGCTAAACAGAACTGTCTTTAACCTGGTTTTAAACATTGTCATTGAGGGGGCCTATCTCACAAGGTTACACAAAAATCACTTTACAATGAGAACATGCAGTTGTCTGTTGAATGATGAGTTGTGCATGGATGATTATTTCCTTTGTAGTTGTAAATATAGCAATACAGTTGTTAATATATGTTAACCCAAGGAAATGTAAATTTAACAAATGCAGAATTAATGAAATGTATGAAATGGTAAAGTGTTGTGTGGTTGATAGAGAACGGATGGATGTACTTTCATATTCCATCCATCCATCCATTTTCTACCCTTTAATCCATTTCTGGGTCAGGTGGGTGGCAGTCAGAGATGCCACCCAAGTCTCATAGCACCAGCCCCTCACTGACCCTCTGCAGGTGGTGAGTCCACAGGAGGACGGCTGCTCTCTGAGTGTGAGCATAGCCTGCACTTTCATATTGTATATTGTAATGTATTTATTTAACCAGGGACTGCAGATGGAAACTAGCTATCTCGCTATGATCTGGTGCAGAACAAATCTGCCTCTATGAGCTTAATGTCTTTGTACAAAGTCCCTTCAAAAAGATTATAGTAGAGTGACTGTTACGTTTTGCATTTCCCTGGTATGGTAACAGGATCATACTCTTCTTAAGACGAAGAACAAGCTTAACATTATTCATTTAAAATGGCATATGTTAAAAATACTATGAGAAAAGTCATACAGTATACAACAAGGGAAGAGGTACGCCAATAATCAAACCACAATAAACAACGGTCAAGGCAAGAGAAGAGTGTTTGTTGAGCACAGTTCATACATATTTTGAGTCATAGTGCTTAACAACACAAGAAACGAAACATGAAAACCACACAGAACATTAAAAAGAGTGAAAACACGATCCTTCAACTGTTTTTTACCAGTCAAGTCAAAAGACATCCATGAACTTAAGGTTGGAGCCCCATTGACTTTTGAATGAGCTACAGGCAAAAAAGGAAAACAGTTCCTTAGCAGTCACTTCAACCTCTGTTCTTGCATACAGAAATCAAACCTGCAATTTCCTTTTCTCCAAAATGTGTGATTTATACGTTGCGACTAGGTTCTCACAGAGGGACAGGTCTTGAACTGGCCCAAACCCATTTTGACTCCCAGTTAAATTAATGTGACTTCAACTTTACAGCTCTTCAGAGATGGAATCGCTCACAGTCCCTCGTCCTTTTACCTTTTACGATTTTAAACCAAAACCAAATGTTAGAATATTCAACCACTGCGCACCTTTTCATTTTCCTTTGTCTACAGCCGGTTTGCATCAGCTTCACGCCATCACTGCTCATAACATCTAATCAAAACAGATGTTGAATCCAATTTGAGTAGAGCCCAAACCATTAATTACAATAGCTTGAAATACAAAATGTGAAAAGAGTATAGACATGGCCGTTCAAACATGAAGCTAACATGTTAGAAGTCATGTGGCTGACTAGTCAATATATGAATGCTCTTATCGGAAATAAGTCTGTTTTGAATTTGGGAAAGGGAAATTAGATGCTGTCTGTCAGACTTTATTTTGGCGAGGGCTCTTCTTCCACAATGCAATTCCTTGAAAAGCTTGTCTCAACAAAGCGTATAGAGAACTAGAATGAACAACTGTATTTACATATCAATAGATGGATGAAAGTTAGCTGTATTATGCACAACTAGTTTATTATTTTAGTTTGTCAGAACAACCAACAAGTCTGAACTGAACTTGGGTTTCCATCAAACATCATAGAAAGCTGTTTTTGAGGTAGTATCTGGTAACCCTAACGAACTAAACAATGGACTTGAGAACCAAAACAGAACATCGTAAACCAATAATGTTAACATTATTATAGACAAACACATTTATGGGAATTTGATACAATTTTACACTGTCACCCATTTGTTGGTGATACCGGCAGGTTTCTATGGAGATAGTGTTGGTGATTTACAAAAAAACTGCAAATGTATAAAGGCAAGCCCAAAGTGGAATTGATATTACTTGTTTATCCGTATGAATATCTATGTATCTATAATAATAATAATAATCCACTAATCTGTGAGTTGCAATTAACTTGTTACAGTCCTAAGAATAATCTGCTGGGGCAGCGAAAGTGAGTTTTATAAATCAATCATGTTTGGATCATATAATATAATCCCATGTACTTTTCAAGTAGTAAAAAGATACAATGAACACATTTTGAAGACCCTTTTTTGGAATATGTTCTACTTTAGATAGACAGATAGTTTATTGATCCCTATAGGGTATCATGCACACTGTATGATTATGTATCGTGAGAATCCCAGTCCTAGTAACTCTTTGATCCTCATATAACTCATGTCATAGTATGCTTTCGTTCAAATATGTCAAATATTTGCGTAAAAGTCCTTTTCGCTTCTGGTAGAGATAAATATCATACATCTGTGGACCTCAGCTGACCTAAAACTACGTTCCAAAAATACACCTGGGCTGAATCACGACTGGGTGAATAGCTAAAGCCCAGCGTCACTGTAAAGAGGTGATAGGAGAGCGCTAACAGGGTGGCCCTATAGAGGAAACTCGTACGCAGCTTTTTGTATTCAATTACAGGAGGCAACATCTGTGCAAGCTTATGGCCTCTGGAACAAACTCACATCAGCATGTCATTTGACCAGTGAAGCTAGGAGGGATCGGGCCCCAAAAAAATCCAGCAGAAAGTTCAAGATTTTTACATTAAACCAAGTATATTCTGTCTTTAGTCTGATATTCTTCTGAGATCTAGTCATTGTAAGAACAGTCTCAATGTCCTCAAATTCGGATTTCTCAACACTGTTGGGAAAGTATGAAATATCCAGGCTATGATTATTCTGACCAAAACATTAAGGACTTCTTAACAATACAAGTACTTATTGCTCCTTTGCTATGTCCTCTTTTGTCCTCCAGATGTTTCAAAATCAGACAAATTCAGGAGGTCGCCAACAAGAAATGGATCTAAAGAGGCACAAGGTGACTAACTAGATTATTGTTGTTCTTATGGGATATTGGACCCAGAACTACTATTATGTTTTTAAGGCCACAGTTTAATTTATATATTTATTTTTTTGAAAGGCTGCAATTAAACATTGGGTAGGGGCTAATGCTGATGAAGAGTTAGCAATTAGAACATGCCTTGATGGTCTGAAACCCATATTTTAATTTTGTTTGTGAATATTTTTTTCCCCATATTGGTAAAGTAAAGGTTGGTTAAGTGCTGTTGTGACTGTTGTTTGTGACTGACTAGAATAACTGGTGCATAATTTATACCGTAAAAGCCAGTAAAATAGAATACATACAGGTTAGTAGAGCAGCAAGTAACTAATCTTTATATATATATAATCGATGTATATAGCTTTTTATAAGTTTTACAGACTAAGGTCCAAACAAAGCCAGTTTTTTTTTTTTATTATTGGAGTTCCGGCAATTTCTGTGTCAGCTGGATCCAACCATATATAATTATAACTATATATCAACCTCCAACTTTGATACAGACAATAGAATCTCCAGTTCACTTAAAAACAAAACACATTTTCAGATAATTATATTATTACTATTCCCAGATCACTCAGTCATAAATCAGTGCATTACTCTCAAGCCAAATTACATTGTGACTTTTATGTATCGTCTTCTGTAATTGCTTGGCGCCGTTAGAGACTCTCCTTAAAATTCTATAAATAAACCCGTCATTGGATGTACTTTTGTTTGAGTAGCAACTGAGTGATGTGTTCATTAGTCCGTGTACAGTGCTAGCATGTGCATAGCATATGACACGTGCTAGCCTAGAATACCACTCTGTAATAACAACATTCAAAGGGAACATGAAGACGGGAGGCGAGACAGGGACTGATCAAAAAGATGAGTGTGTCTGGAGTCGTAAAGAAAGCCTCCCTTGATCTACACTTTTTCCTGCAGGCGAAACACATTTGAAGTTCGGAAAGGCATGAGAACCCATTCATTGTGAGAATAAATAAAGTACTACATATAACAGGCTATTCTAAAGATATTTCCTAAAGGAACTGAGAGACTAAATGAAGACATTATTTTAGAAGGAAATTGGCAGATTCCTGTGGAAAGGTGACACATTGGATGACTATTGGGGAAATGACTATATTAGACTCACTTTACGAGAAGCAACCCTACTGAGGATGTGAATTAATTGACTACAAATTGTTTGGCAATTGTTCTTTCCCGTGCTTCTGCGTTTGATTTTCAGCTGGTCTAAGGTCTTTCCATAATCTACAAGCATTGTTGAGTAACACAAACTTAACAGCAATGATATGAAATTGGCCCACCTTTCTATTGCTTTATGGTGAATAGGAACCAGACTTGTAACCTTACAAACTGAAGTGAAAGGCTTTACAAAGAAGGAAGATATGAAATTCCTCTGAGAAATTAAAAATATATATATCGGAAATCAAATAAGGATTTATATAAAAAACGAGTATAAAAACTATTTGCCAGGTCTAACAAATAAAGGTTATCTTATCTTTTTGATTTTGAGAAAGTATAAAAACAGGGAAAATTTGAGACTTTTTTTTAATACATTTTAAACTATATTAAAATAACTTAAACATATTACTGTAAAACTGTACTAACTGAACATGTGATGGTCACTGTTTTTTTTTATTTTTTTTTTACAATAAGTTGTAAACTGTCTGCTATATATAAAGAGGGTGGTACCATTTTTCCAAGTTTCAGTGTTTTTATTTTTTCCCCATACTGGCATGAGACAGAGCTGCATCCAAATAA